TTTAACTTTTAATTTGGGAATAATTTTTGATCTTTAGTAAATGTTCCAACAATAGTACAGAAAGTTTCTATGTGTCCTTCACTCATCTTCTCCTAATGTTAACATCTTACATAGTGATGGTACATTTGTCAAAACTAAGAAATGAACAGTAGTATGCTAGCATTAACTAAACTACAGACTTTTTGGGTTTCATTCATTTCCATTGATACCCTTTTCCTGTTCCAATGCCTCACTGCATTGACTGATGTCTTCTTTGTCTCTCTCTTCAAAAATTTATTTGAGAGAGAGAGAGAGAGAGGAACATTGATTTGTTGTTCCACTTATTCATGCATTCATTGGTTGCTTCGTGGATGTGCCCTAACTGGGGATCAAACCCACAGCCTTAGCTTAATGGGACAAGGCTCTAACCAGCTAAGCTCCCTGGCCAGGGCTAAATTTATTTTTCAATTACAGTTGACACACAATATTATATTAGTTTCAGGTGTCAACACAGTGATTTGACATGACCTTGACAGTTTTGAAGAGTACTGGTCAGGTGTTTTGTAGACTGTCCCTCAGTTAGAGTTTGTCTGATGTTTTCTCCTGGTTAGGAGTGAAATGTCTTGAAATCTTTTCTCTAGCAGCTCTGAAACCCTAGTTTGGTTTAGATTTCTGAGTCCCCTGTTCCCTCACCTCATGCCCCTGTCCCCATGGTAACCCAGGCACTTTTTTTTACAGGACATGTGCAAAGCTGCCACTGAGTCGGTGCCCTGCAGCCCTAGCCCCCTCCCGGGCGAGATTCGCCGAGGCACCCCTAGTGGTGAGTCCCATCTGCTCATTCTTACACTCCTGCAGTGAAGGGAACACACCTGGAGTCTGCAGAGGTGGCAGCAAAGGCATCTGAGGCCCTCTTCTCTTAGGGAAAATTACACTGGGTGATGAGGGGCTGGTGGTAGTTCTGTCCTGTAAAGTCACTGCAAACACCGCGTTAGTGAACACTGAATCATGCGCCTACGGGCAATACAAGGTTTAGGTTCCTGCAAACCTCTGATCACCACATTTTTCCTTAGCTGATTAATACTGAACTTCTTTTATGCATGTTTCCATTTAAAGACACTTTATTTCCTAGCTATTGTTGATTCATTAACATTGAACTGTGGTTAATAACACTATAACTCATTTCTGAACGGAGCTAATTTCACACATGTATTTTTTCCATAAGGCACATACATCAGTGCCTCCTTGCATTTAGGAACACAGACAGCATTTCAGTGCTGTGCTTAGGGGGCCGTTTTAATCAGCAAAATCATAGACCATGGAAAGAACACTTTTTACAGTATGAGAGCTGAAACAAGAACACAGCGTGTGGCTTGTTTGACCTCAGTTGGGAGTGTGGGTGTTGGGCGATTCAAGTTTTTCGCCATTCTGTGCATGTCTGTGAATGACCACAGACGCACTATGAGTGTTAGTTTTGGAGGTTACAAGTAAATTTTAATGAAGAGGTCAATTTGAAAATATGGAATCTGTGAATGGTGAGAACCGGCTCTATTTATACTTTTGTTTCTTCATTAGTATGATAACTTAAAAAAAATTAAACCTAAAAAAATAAATAAAAACCTAAAAAATTTAACATGCATATTTGTTAGCCTTTGTTACTTAGCAAGCCACCCCAAAACTGGTTTAAAACACCGACATTTATTTCCCATGGTTTTATGACTTGGTTGGTCATTTCTGCTCGGGGCCAGCTCAGCTGGTCTGGATGGGTGATCTAGGAGACCTCAGCACACATCTGATGGCTGGCTTGATGTCAACAGGGGCAATTTGGGCACATGCCTCTCATTTCCTAGCAGCTGGCTCAGGCTCATCCGTACAGTGGTGGTTGCAGGACTCCCAAAAGCAGCATGGGAAGGCAGCCCCCATTTTTCAAATCACCTCTAAGCCTCTGCTTATATAACATCTGTTCTTGTCCCATTGGCCAGAGCCAATCACATGGCTCAACTCAGAGTCATTGTGGGCAGGGCCTACCCAAAGGCATGGTCAAGGGAGGCTGAACAAATTGGGGGTTCGTTTCTGTAAATCTCTCTTACAACTTACATGCAGAAAAGGGTTCAGATTACAACAGTACAGCTGAATGACTTCACAGACGGGACACCATGTGGGCAGCAGCATCCAAATCCAGAAACAAGCGTGACAGTGACTCCAACCATCTCGGGTGCCCACCACCTGATTTCTAGCAGCATAGGTTAGTTTTGCTAGTCTTTCAAGTCTATATAAATGAAACTAGATATATGTACTCTTTGTACCATTCTGAATATCTTAAATAGTTTAAAATAAATTTTAAAAATTAATTAAAACAAAAACACTAGTGGAAAAAATAGGCAATCAAATAGTAAGAGGAAACAGGCAAAGAAGGAAAGAGGGGAAGAGGTCTCCAAAACAGCATTCCTGATGTGGCCACCTGTATACACTTTATAATATCACATGTATGTGTCTGTGAGCAGCAGTCATGATGTCAGAGCACAAAGAACCTGATGTTAACATTCAGTAGAGACAGACAGTTGTTTTCCTTCTGCCTGAATGGTGCTAACTTGCCATGATAAATGCATCCCTGACTGTCCCCCTCCCACGCTGGGATTGGCCTCTGCTTCTTAGCCTTACATGCTACAGCCCTCACTTATACCCTAGGACATCCCTCTCTTGTTCTACAGAAAACAGGGTCCATCAGAGACTGTCCCCCACGCCCAGAGGGAGGTCACCTCTTTTCTTGCCCCAGACCAGCTGGAGCCAGACCCACATTCCCAGGCCTGGCTGAGTGATCCCCGCTCTGAACCCCAGTTCCCTTGTCTGTAAAGTTGGTTATCAGTAGGGTCTGTCTAGCACAGATGTTGGAGGTTTGGTGGTAGTGTTCATCTTTTCAGTAGATGCTTATCGAGGGCTGTGAAGTGCCAGAAATGTTGTGGGCACTGGGGATACAGCAATGAACAGGCAGTGTCTCCGCAGGGAGCTTGCATGCTCTGGGAGAACCCACCAGTAAACAAATAATGTAAGTTAATGTCGAGCAGTAATAAAGGCTATGAAGAAAGAGAAAGTGTGGTGTAGGGTAAGGGAGTACAGGTTGATGGGTGGTCTGGAAAGCTTTCGCTAAGGAGACCATCTGAGAGGAGACCTGCGTGAAGAGGCAGAGCAAACCTGTTGGCACTCCGGGAAGTGCGTGCCAGGCCAAGGGAACAGCTTAGCTGAAGTGGAGCGTGGAGGGGAGGGTCGAGGTCCGTGCGGGGCTGCATAACTCACTGATGGGTGAAGTATGGTAAGGACCAGTCTGGTCTTGGGTCTCAGGAAAGACCCTCAGGGCAGGGAGGGGTAGGCTAGTTCCTGGAAAGACTGGCCCACCCAATCCCCAGACATCCCCACAGGAGGACAGCACAGCCACAGAGGAACTCTGGCTGCTCCTTCCCCATTCAGTCCCAAAGCTGGCCTCCAGCCGGCCTCCCTCCCAGGGCCCACTGGACTGGACTCTCCCCTTTCCTCCCTGCAGCCGCCTCCCGAATGATAGCCAACAGCTTGAACCGAGACTCCCCACCTGGAACTCCCCCCAGGCGGCCAGATACCAGCGCCTCTAAGATCTCCGTCACCGTGTCCAATAAGATGGCAGCAAAGAGTGCCAAGGCCGCTGGTGAGCAGACTTGGGCAGGTGGTGGGAGGAGCTGGAGGTAAATGTGGGTTGGCAGATGGGGGTCATGTTCCCAGCGTTGTGAGTGCCTGAAGGCTACCAGGTTCAAAGGGTTTGTAATTGATCAAGTCACTGCACCTCTAGGGGCCTTGCTCTCCACGTCTATAGAATGGGGCTGGGGGTACCCTACCCAGAGGACAGTCAGAAGCACTTGAGATGATGTATATAAGCACAGGTGCACTGTGATTCAGTCTTTTTAATTTTATTTTATTGTGGTAAGAACACTTAACATGAGGTCTACCCTCTTAACAAAGTTTTAAGTGTACACAGCAGTACTGTTGACTACAGGTGGTTCAGTCTTTTTTAATAGATGTTCACTGAGCCCTGCACTGTGCCCGGCCCTGTGCTTGATGCCTGGGGTCAAAGGTAAAGAAGCTACTGTTTCCTCTCAGCAGCCAGAGGGATCTTTCAGAACCCTCAGCCAGATCTTTTCACACCTTTGTCTAGAACTCTCCAGGGCTTCCCGTTATTCCAGCAATAAAATCCAGTCCTAATGTGGATTCCTCTCTTGTGTCTCTTCCCCTTGCTCGCTGCCTCCGGCCCCCTGCAGCTGCTTCCCCCTGTGGGGCCTTTGTCCCGTGTTCCCTTCTTCTGGAGCACGCTTCCTCTGCAGACTTCCGTGCCTGGCCTCTGCTCTTCTAGGTCTCAGCTTGAAAGCTGGGATTGGGACTCGGCCTTAGGGCTCTCAAGCCCTCTCTGTGCTGCCGCTTCCCCCCTTTGTTGGACCCAGCCCACAACAGTGATGTTGGCACAAGTGGAACCTGAGGCCCAGGGAGGGGGCTTCGTAATCTGACGCCCAGCCCCCTCATGCCCTGTCCACCTCTTTCGCACCCTGCATGCTCCCTTTTGCTGGGGGCGTTTGGAAGTGCCCCAACCCCCTTCTGGCCTTGTGATTGGCATGCCATGAGAAAGAAAGTTAAAATTACTTTCTAAAGTATTGAAAAGATAGCCTGGGAGGACTGGCACTCTTCCCCCTTGACACATTTGAGGGGATTCTTTTTTGTAAAAATGGAGTTAAAATTTAGTTATATACAGATTGTAAGTTTACGACTTGATTAATTTTTGGAAGGTGAGCACACCTGTGAAACCACTGCCTGGTGGGGCTCCGTAACCTTCCCTCCCAACCCAGGTCTGAGGGGAGTCTGGGCTGGGAGGTGAGCCTGTTTGGGGTGGACAGAGCCGCAGAGAATGGGAGGCCCACTGCAACCTGGGTGTCCGGGTGCCTTCTGCCCTGTCTGGCTCAGACCTCTGAGTTTCTCGGTGGCTCAGAGTCAGTGGCGACAGGGGTAGTTGGGAAAATAAGGGGTTCCAGTCATGCGGATGCATGGAGATAAAGGGCACATATGTGCCGTATGCAGGGCATCTAGTCCCTATCCTGGGAGAACATTCTATCCTGAAGGCGCTCAGCCACACCCTCTTCCCCAGCTGCCCTGGCCCGCCGGGAGGAGGAGAGCCTGGCTGTTCCCACCAAGCGACGCAGGGTCACCGCTGAGATGGAGGGGAAATACATCATCAACATGCCCAAAGGCACCACCCCCCGGACCCGCAAGATCCTTGAGCAGCAGCAGGCGGCGAAAGGTACTGGCCTGGCAGGGGTGTGCGCTGGCATAGCCTGTGCTTCCCTTTCGGTCTCATCCCACTGGCATTGGCGGAAAAGCAGGCTCTAAAGGGATTCATGGGGTACTGGAACCAGTCCCCCTCAGATACCGAGGGACGGCTATGCTCATTCTTGCTAATGGTTGTTTAATATTTCCACAGTATTTATATATCATATCAAGCTTTCTGTTGGTGGCTATTTAGGTTGTTATTTAGAGAGAGAACGTGTTACCAATTCATCAGATTTTCTCAGAGGCCTATGACCCCAAAAAGAGTGAGCGGGCCAAGTAGTGATCAAGAACTCTTCCCGCACACACACCTGATGAACTTGCACTAGGTCCAAGGAACATATATCAATTTTAGTTCATCCTTCCCCCAGTTAACACCAGCCAGGAGCCGGTGGGTTAAGGTCAGTGTTAACCAACAAGTGTAGACAAAGCCTAACTGGGCCCAGTCTGTGCCTATTGTACCAGCGCTGCTTGGGGTCTAGGCTGCCATGTCGTCCCCTCCCTTGTCTGCACATGTTCACCCGGGTCTGGGCCACAGGGGCCACTCATCCGGTGCTCAGTGATGGCCTTGCTTCCCTCCAGGTCTCCACAGGACGTCTGTGTTTGACCGCCTCGGTGCCGAGACCAAGGCAGACACGACGACAGGCAATAAAGTGAGTTGGAGATTGGGGAGCCACTCGAGGCTCTCAAATTCTTGTCCTCCCTGGGTGTTGTTCCTGACACTTCCCACATCTCACCCCTGGCATACCCTGGGCCCATCTCAGGGCAGAAGACAGGGGGAAAAATGTCCAGCCCGGGGTCTGGCTGACTCCTGGATGCTGCCCTGTCCCAAACCACCCTCAGCATCATCCCCCAAGGCAACCCCTCTCCTGGGCCCTGTCTCAGGGACACCGCATTGTCCTCATTCTAGGCAGTGACCAGACGGATGGCGCCGTCCGTCTTGCCTGCTCTGCCACCTCTCCCTGTCTGGATAGGCAGCGCCTCCTAACTGGTCACTGTGCAGCTACTGAGAGCCCCACCAGCCCTTCGGCCACAGCAGCAGTGTGTGCTGCACGGGACAGCCGCCTGCCGCCCCTGCAAGCCCTTCACAGGCTTTTCCCGGCTCAGGGTGAAGCCCTCTTCTCCCCTTGGCCTGCAGTCCGCAGGCGCAGGCATGGTGCGTGCGTAGGAGCACCCAGCCTGGGCCCGCTGCACAGTGTGAATCTGCCAACGCCGGGCTGCGTGGCCTTGGCCACGTCACGTATGCCCTTCCCACCTTGGTTTCCTGTATAGTACCCACCGCATAGGGTGAGCGTGCGGATTAAGTGAGAGGTACCTGCATGGTGCTGTGGGGTCTGGGGTGTGGTAAGCACCCTTCAGTGTCACCAGCTGCATTTCCTGCCTCAGCCCCTCACCCACCAGGCCTCACCGGCTCTGGCCTGAGCATGATAACGGCACTCAGGTTCATGTGGCTTGAAGATGGAGCCACGTCAAGAGCTTGGCCCAAGCGAGTGCTCCAGTGATTCTTACTCTGGCCTTGGGGACTTAGCCCACTCCTTTTGCTGCCAATTCAGTCTTGAGGGTCTGGCTTAAATGTTGGTGCTTCCGAAAGCTTCCCTGAACTCTGAGAAGAGACGAGGCTTCCCTGTCTCCTGCTCTCCAGCACCCTCCTTTCCTCCACAAACGTATCACACTGTCGTAATTAGAGAATTACTTGTGTCATTTCCAGTGCCAGGTCT